CAATGATAGGTAGCGTTTGAACATTGCAACGTTTATGTGGGGATGGACAGGGGAGAGCCTCCGTCCTCACCATGCACTCCCAGCGGCACCTACTGGCCGTTACCCTTTTGAAAAAACGTTTATGTAGTAACGTGAAGACATCACATTTGCAGCAGCGAAAACAGACGCCCAAGAGGACAAAGTATGAACAGGCGTTTTGAAGTTCGAACATCTTTTCTTTACACTGTATGTAGACTTGCAATCCAAATTTCCTCCTTTTTTTATGTCGTTCAACTGGATTCTGCATTTGAACAGTTCAAGTGTGTACCGTCTGAGCTAGGCGCGTTGGTAAGTTCGAACATCTTCAGTTAAAGAAGCGGAAAAGAACTTCTGTACATGGATAGACAAAGGGTTGATCGGATACTTTGATGGATTACTACGAGAAAGTGACAAGATGCTGGCTTTTGTGACCTATTTTGTGTTTGTAGAGATTCTGCTCATTGTTAAGCTGAAAGCAGAAAAGCAAACAATGGAACGACTAGAAGATACAAAGGTACACAATGCTTTAGACTCATTTAAAGGTTATTTTGTACCCGCGAACGTCCTGTGTAGTACATTTTTACACCTACTACTGAACAGGTAACTGTTAATACCAAGCCCTCTCTCTCTCTCTCTCTCTCTCTCTCTCTCTCTCTCTCTCTCTCTCTCTCTCTCTCTCACACACACACACACACACACACACACACACACACACACACGCCCATTATTGGTTGGGATCACTCCTGCTGGAAACCAGGTATTGCAATCGCATAAAATTATGTCCATTATTGGTTGGGACCACTCCTGTTGGGACCACTCCTCCTGGAAACCAGATATTGCAATCGCATAAAATCCATACAAATGGCAGACTGACTACCCGCCGCACAAAGATCAAAATCAAATAGAGCCACGCAACAGTTTTATTTCGATAGGTGAACGCAGGCAAAGTTGAGTGCATCGGTAGTTGCGAAGTGAATTAGTCTTCATGTATAGACATCATCATAAATGAGCTAAGCAGATAGTACAAAAGAGCCCTCACGTGATCAGCCAAGCCATTGACATAGTCATAATAGATTTGGAATAGGCAAGAAAAGAGCACACCGATACTCAGTGCTGCCTATACAAACCGGGGTCTAAATTAATCTCCCAACGACTCTCATTTACTTCAATGGAGTAATTAACAGTGATCAATCGATCAAGGGCGCCGCAGTAAGAGCAAGAACCAGTTTGAACCGTAATGCTGGAATCAGATGAATATGAAATGAATCTGAGGGCAGATTTTTCGGGACATTGATTAAAACAAATACAATCAATGGCAATACAGCATTCTTCACGCTCTTCAGGGCCACACTCGCTGACCACAAAAACAAGCGAAAAAGGCGGGCGACAAAAGGTGATCGGTTTTTTAAGAACGCCTCCCGCAATTTTTCATGACATTCATCGAAACACAAGCGGAGGCATTCTTATCGTGACTTCATTGGATTCAAAGGCAATGAAGTGACCACCGGAGATACTCACTTTACCACACAAACAAGCGAAAGAGGGGCGGGAAGGAGGGGGGGGGGAGGGGAGCAAAAAGTGGTCGTTTTATGATATACCTCCGACAATTTTTCATGACATTCATTGAAAAAAAAAGATTGAATGTAGTCTTCATCGCCCAAACAAGCGACACAGGGAGTTGGGGAAAAGGTGGGGGGTGGGGGAAGTGGTCGTTTTATAATGCCTCCGAGAAGGCTGGGCCCTACATGTCCAAGTTCGCGTTGCAGAAACCCGGAAAACAGAGGAGAAAAAACAAAAAGAACCAAAAAAAAGACAAAAAAAAAAGAAAAAAGAAAAAGAAAAAAAGGGGAGAGTCACTCTTTTCCCGTTTGTCTGGCAAGATCCGGATCGTTAAACAGCATTTTCATCACAGCACATTAAAAGCCTGGTCACAGAGGAGCATCTTGTTTATACCTTGAGAATGGATCAGGCATGCCATAGCCGCTGAGACCAACTGATCTGACCGCCTTCACCCCAATAGAACGCAAGCCTGGTCATTATGGCTGTACCTGGACAGCAAATTGCCCCAAATACCTCTATAATGGGCGGACGTTATATTCGGGACGAAGAATGGAGTCGGCCTCATCATGCTTGTTTAAGTCTGACGAGTCAAACCAATGTTTAGTTAGCTCTCTCATTCAATCAAACGATCCTAGCTCAGTTGATATACCCACGACCTGTTGAAAAACATACCCGAGTTCTATTCCAGATGCGATCAGATGAGCAGCAGATGAGAAAAATAACATAATTCTGAGTTGCCTGGGGCCGGTCAGTTCAATGACAATACGTCAACGCGATCACACTTGTGGGAAAAAAAAAAGAAAATAAAAAAGTATTTAACTGGGAGAGGAACCGACGATTTCACAGGAATCGGACCTACTTGTAAGATACTGGATTAGACTACCCCCTTCAACGAAATAGAACGCCAGGTTATTAGCATAATAGTTGTACTTGACGCACCAGTACGTCTAAATACAGTCTAAGACCCTGAATTAGATAGAGTACCCTCGTCATGCGAATGGAATGCCCGGTCATTCTCGCTCTATTTTTGGCGCGCACCTATGGGTCTAGAAACAGCGATAACGACCAGGCGTTCCATGAGGGTGAAAACGGCTGCCATGCTGCACTGTACGTTGTTCTCGCTCACTACTCCTAACGAATCCTCAGGATTTCGACGAAAAGATTATAATAATTATAACTGTTGCACACCGACTTTTCGATCCCTTCTGGGTCAGAAAAAAAATACAAGCCCTTTTTCCATTGACGGTTCAATTATTTTTCTCTGCACTCCTCCGACGGGATGACCGTTGAACAACACTTACAGGAAAGCAGGAAACAGTGTTTCACAAATGAGAGGCGCAATATCAGCTTTTCACACCCAGTCATTTCCTCTTATGCTCTCTCGCCATTTTCACAAAACTCGCGTTGTTTTGTTATGTTTCTTCTGATTTCTTAATCTCAAGCGAAAAAAAGAAACTCCGAGTACAAGAATACCCTAAACAATATATAGGATTGACACACCATTGCGTCACCAAAACAAGTCGTCCTGAAAGAATTCTAAACCTATAAATTACGAGTAAACATTCTTAGCGCCTACGTATACAGAAGAGAAGATCCAGCACCTACACAGAAGAGAAATACCAGCGCACCTACACAGACGAGACACGAGTACCAGAAACTCCTACCACCTACACAGAAGCGTAAGATGGATGAATAGGAGAGCCCTCTGTTCAACTCCACAACGCCAGAGTATTGCGAGAAAGAACAAAAAAAACAAAAAAAAACGCCATCCATGCCCATCGGGCTACATCACTATAATGAGGTAAACAGCTCGGTGTGCGACGCAGCCGCACTGTCGCACGCTTGGCAGAAGAGCTATTCCCACCATAAAGAAAAAAGACATAATAATTTTTCCAAATGCAACGACAAGCCCAGATAAAAATAGAACACTACGCCAAGATGCCCTTACAAAGATCACTAAACGTCAGAAGCGTTGAACCAAATAATCAATAAAAAAGAACACTCAATAGGGCTCAACCGGGGTACGGAAATTGACACCAGCGTACACAGCGGCATCGCCAAGCTCCTCCTCAATACGCAGCAGCTGGTTGTATTTCGCTAGGCGCTCCGATCTGCACGGTGCTCCCGTCTTGATTTGTCCAGTGGCAAGTCCGACCGCAAGATCAGCGATGAAAGTGTCTTCCGTCTCTCCGCTCCTGTGGCTGGTCATCACTCCCCACCATGCCTTCTTCGACATCCTCACGGCTTCGATGCTCTCTGTCACCGACCCTATCTGGTTCACCTTGAGGAGAAGAGCATTCGCTGACTTCTCAGCGATGGCCTTCTCCACTCTCTTCGGATTGGTCACCAGCAAGTCGTCACCGACGATCTGTACCTTCTCGCCGATCAAATCAGTCAGCTTGGCGTAGTGCTCCCAATCGTCTTGGTCGAAGGGGTCTTCGATGGAGACCAGAGGGTACTCGTCGCAAAACGACTGGTACAGCTGAATGAGCTGATCGCCGGTGATCTTCGCGCTGCCGTCATTGTTCTCCGTCTTGAAGTCCAGATCGTACATCTTCGTCTTCTCGTCGTAGAACTCCGACGCCGCCACGTCCATGCCTATCGTCACCTTGCCCGTGTATCCTGCCTTCTCGATGGCCGCCTTAATCAACTCCAACCCCTCCTTGTTGTCCTGGATGTTGGGCGCAAATCCGCCCTCATCACCCACGTTCGTCGCGTCCTGCCCGTACTTCTTCTTGATGATGGACTTGAGATGGTGGTACACTTCTGATCCAATCTTCATCGCCTCCTTGAATGTGGCGGCGCCCGTCGGCAGAATCATAAACTCCTGCATGGCTAGCTTGTTACCCGCATGCGAGCCGCCGTTGATGATGTTGAACGAAGGGACAGGAAGCACCAGTTTCGAGTTTCCCGCCAAATTCGCAATGTGCTGATAGAGCGGGATCTTCTTGGCGCCGGCGCCAGCTTTGCAGAGCGCCAGCGACACCGCCAAGATGGCATTGGCGCCGAGCTTCTGCTTGCACCATCCCCACTGGTTCTGCGTGCCGTCGAGCTGCTCAACCATGTAGTTGTCGATGGCCGTTTGCTCCGTCACATCCTTACCAATCAACGCGGGGGCGATGATGTCGTTGACATTGCTGACCGCCTTCAGCACGCCCTTGCCCATGTAGTCCTTGCCGCCATCGCGGAGCTCCAGGGCCTCGTAAATGCCGGTAGAAGCACCACTCGGCACCGCCGCGCGGTACTGCGCGCCATCACTTGTGGTAACGTCCACCTCCACCGTCGGATTGCCACGGCTATCGAAGATCTGCCGGGCCTTGATTGCAGAGATCGTGATCGCCATCTTCACGATGATCTAATTAGTTGCGAGAAAAAAAGAGGGCCAAAGAAGAGCACAAGGCACCGGAAGAGGAAGAGAGACGGCGTTGGCTTTTTGGCGATGGCGACGACGCCCGCCAACCCGCCGAGGAGGACGATGACAAAGGAAAACCCTACTACAACGCGAAGGCGACGCTGTGAGCTGTGCTACGCAATCTACGGACGCGCTTTCGAATTTATTCACCTTTTCGTACAGTGCACCGTCTATCACACTGTGGCCCTACGATGCACCAGGCATCCCGCTTCTACCAGTACTGTGCACACGGTGCCCAGGATTCCATCAGACTGCTCATCTGCATTATCGAGCGGCAGTTCAATCCGGCGTGCACTGTACTTCATACTTCAGTTATGGCCACATTCGTTCCCACGACTCCAATCGTGTCTACCGGCGGCTGTAAATAGCAGAGGTTCCCATAATTCCTTTTAGGGAAAGGGATAATTTGCAATACAAGTTCAGACATATGCCAAGGCGCCCGGTCGGAATCCGGACTTACGCACCAAATCTTATTTTGACTTCCGCACCAAATCTTATTTTAATTCCGCAGGGGGCTAGAGGATGGATACCGCAGTAGCACCCGGCCCTTCCCAGGATGAGGAACAAGCAGAACACCCTTCTCTGTAGGATGAGGAGCTCAACCAGTTGGCCTCTATGGTTGGCGACTGGTGTCTGCATCAAACATCGCAGGATGTTTTGGACTATGTAGAAGCTCCAATTGTGTTTATCGGCAGCAGAGGTTCCCATAATTCCTTTTAGGGAAAGGGATAATTTGCAAAACAAGTTCATTCAGATATATTGTAACTCCGCAGGTGGCTAGAGGATGGATACCACAGTACCACCCGGCCCTTCCCACGACGAGGAGCTCAACCAGTTGGCCTCTGTGGTTGGCGACTGGTATCTGCATCAAACATCGCAGGATGTTTCGGACTATGTCGAGGCGACGATTAACAAGGAGGAGGATGATATCGAGATACGGCCCAAGGAGAGTATCCGTGAAGTCGAAGAAGCCTTCCTCAAACAACACGCCGTAGCAACCTCTTTCAAGGGAAGGCGAAAAACCTCACCAATGACAGAAAACTCGATATTGTTCGTTCTATCGAGGATGCACTCATACTTGAGGACAAGCTCCTCACACACATGGGGCTCACTCATTTCGAGAGCAAAATGCAACTAACCTACGTTCTGAAATTACCACTGATGTCTTAATGGATGCTGAAAAGAGGAATCGAACAATTTGTCGAACGAAAGATAAGATCTTCGTCAGACAATGGATGTCAAAGGCACACTGGCTTGCACACAGGGAAGAGGAGAAAACGTTCGTTATGTGGTTCCCCATCGACGCCTCTATGTATATCAGAACTGGAATTGAGCTCGCCATGGGGAAAGTAATCAAAGATTACGACGTTGTCAATGACCCAGTTGATCTTAATCTGGGAAACATCAAGTACGGACTGCACCCAAGTGCAGAACATAAATTTGTCAATACACCGAAAGTGTTCACAGGGAAAGGGTATCTATTGGGTGATTTGGTCAACAGCAACACACCGTGGTGTAAAGGATGTAATCGCTACATCCGGATGGACGGCGACTATCTCTGTGTTGAGGAAACCGCACCGTACGGGAAGACTGCCGAAGGGGGTTCCTCCCCTCTCGGCCTGAACCCAATGGAACAGGCAGGGCAAGTAGGCCAGCAATGCAAGCCTCCGCAGCCCTGCCAAGTCACTCCTCAACGGAACATTTCCGGCTCCTCCTTTTCTAATAGTAAGCATATTGTGGACAAGCGCAACACTGACAGATCGTTCCAATGGCTCAAACCTCAACTGCAACAACTCTGAGCACCACGGAGTATCGGGAGAAGCAACCTCGATCTGTATTGTTTCTCCGTTGTCGAGCAGATCGACTGCGTGTAGTTTTCTTTGGCTGAAGGTTCGAGATCGAACTTAACACTGGCCAATTCCAGCTTTCTGGCTCCTTGGTAACTGAATTTTTTTTAATTATTTTACCGAATGTCAGTTCCACGGTGTCCTTCAAGACTGTTAGATCCACCATCGGGATAGGTAGGCAACAAACAAACAAAAAAAAAGTCTACTTTCAGTTTTTTCTCCAACCCTGGAGGTCCTTTTTCCGACATCAAGGGTTTAAAGAACACCTCATACATTTTTCCATCATGTTCAATTTTATCACCTCCTATTCTTAACATCGAATCAGCTACCTCTTTGTTGCAAGCGACATATGACAACAAATTATTGCCTTCATTTATGGAGAAACCCCTTTTTGGTTCTTTCCCCAATATCGACATTCCGATCCAACCATTTTCGTAGGATCGGATTGCTTTTCATTTTATGTCAACAGGTAGGTTTACTGCAGCTTTGTCAAAAAATATCATCACCACGTGTTCCCTAAGCCATTATGTCTGCACTTCATACACTCTTAGATCAATTTTAATTCTCACTCTGTCCGGTTCTCTAATAGCCTTAGTGAACCGAGGAGTACAGATTCCAGTGGACAAAATTTTCTGCCTACTATGGCATTCGTTGAAGGGATTCCACAACCTTTCCTTTTCAGTTTCAGAGAGGTTTACCCTCTGAGGAGTATCGTTCTCCCCCATTTGGGGAAACCACTCCATGTTAGAAACAGTAGTGCCAACAGACAAGAAAGAACAAGCAGATTTGTTCGTTAGTTATCTATCTTACTCAAACTAATCGGACCTACAGTATCGAAAACCTCACTTTACTGTGTATTTCTCTTTTACCCTCATCCCGGAAGAGCACGCGTGTAGTGATATTATCCTGGTGGTGGAAGAGCAATCGCTTAGTCACGCTGGCTGCGAGAAATTTCAGTTCCCCTGGTGATGATTGCACCTCCAATGCCATTGATTGCCACGCTGCGATTCTTGGTGATTATCGTTGTGATGATGATTACCCACTTCGTTCCTCAACTCTAATTTGGCTACTACACTATGATAATGTTATCTCCCCGCTTCGTGGATGAGAATGCATAAACTCTTAAGTTGCTTTGGAGTGATCAACCAAGAGGGAGGACATGCCAATTCGATATGAAGAGGTATCCCAACCTACCTCAACTTACGAACGTCTTCAAGAGTCTTTCTGATTATCTTCGAGCATTCGGAGATGATGACGAAGCTTCCCTAAAGCTATGGTGTCGAAACGTTGTCGTACCAAACTTGAATACCCTTACAAGGGTATTTGGCGTGTTTTCTGCAAGTCACACTAACGCAACCTTGCCCGTTTGGAGGCGCGCACGCGGGAGGAAGTTTAGGTCCTCGTCTGGGTGAGCGATGAGCGTGAGGTATCGATGGCGAAGGGCCAACCATGCACAGCCTGGGTGTGCGTGGTGTCATGGGCCAGTGGGCGTGCGACTTCTCGCCCTCTTACCTTTTTATTTCCTTGAGTTTAATTTTTATGTATTATTATTCTTTTTATTTCGACTTTTTTTTTTTTTTCGGACGTCTTTGGCTCGGTGATCGGTTTCGAGACGGGTGTCGGGCCCGATGGGTATGGCTCGGCTACCACTTTGTTGCACGTGGGTGGCCGCTACGACAATTGAGGACCTTAACCACGCGCTTCTTTTAGCAGGGCCGCTGGGGTTCCTGCGCGTTTTGGATGCTGACAAAAATTCCTCTATCCTACCCATATTGAAAACACGGACCGAAGAGGTCCACGTGTGTGAGAGGGTGGGGCCCCGTCACGGTGATCGTAGCTTCCCTCGCTTTCCATTTGGAGAGCGTCGATAATCTAAACTGGAAGGAATTTGAGGGCATTCAGACCAAGCCTGCATGGATGCAACCAGAGGATGGCGAGGGTTGTCGGGGGTGCACTGTCCGCCGACCGCGAGTCTGCTGAGAGAGGTGAGTGTGACCCGATGAATGGGGAACTGCATAGGCACATGAGGCACAACGCGGAGGTCGCAAGTGGTCGACTGATTCTCGTGGAACCTTTCTCCCCATTGGTCTTCAAAGTTCGCATTTGAATACTTGCTACTACCACCAAGACCTGCATCGGGGTCGCCTTATCAAGGCCCATGCTACACGCATACAGCAGACCCATGCCCCGGGTCTGCGACCTACCACCTGAGTGTGTGCCTGCTTTTAGGGAACTCTAGAGGTGGTGAGCTCTACCTAAGTAGAGTGGATCAGGGGAGAAGTATCTCGTTCGTTTCCAGATGGAATCGAGCGAGGAAAAATGCTAAATAGGGGTTTCTCATAGTTAAGAAACAAATTATAAAGTTAATTTTGGATGTTAGTGTATAAGTTTTGATATATGATAGATAAGAGTTGCACCCCGGGAAAGTAGTTTTATTTTTGTTTTTATTTTTTATGAAGTGTATCTTCTCACGTTTTAAGAGGAAAATGCACTCTCATTTTGCACTTTTGACGAATAGCGGAGGGTGATCTAATTGCAGCCCGCTCGTCATTCGTGATCTCATGGCTACTGTTTGACTTGCTCGTGATCTTCTCCACGCCACTTGTTCCCGCGATGTTTCCTCGCTAACGATTTGTACGTATGTAGTATTGGGGATGGTTTGCCATGACCCACCTTTGGAGCAGAAGGAGGACCGATGACCATAGCAGGGAGGCAGGAGGTATACCTGGTACGGCGTTGCCATGAGGGTGTGACAGGGAAACGAGATAAGAGCAGGAATAAAGGAAAAGGAGAGAGAGTGAGCTCACCTGGTTGACTTGGAATGCACGTCGACCTGAGCTATACCCAATGAGATTCTGGCGGGATATTCGTTCTCATCTTGCATATTTGGCGGTCGGGTGGGACAAGGAGGAACAGTGGAGATGGAGGAGGCTATTTGGCCTGTTTTGGTGGCTGGTTGATCGGTGACAAGTAGACACATCTGGCGAGCAGGGTGCATGGTTGCTTCTAGCTAGGTTGATTGTCAGTTTTCGGCCCTTTGCTGCAAAACGTTCTCAGCTCCGGTATGGTACTGACTCCGGGCTCTAGCATCCAACCATCCCGATTACAACAATTGCGGTTATTCCCCGATCAGGGCCACAATCCGCACTGTTTCGGTCGGATTAACTAGAGCTCCTCAGGTGGAGGTCATTGACTACCACCAAAGCTTTGCTGCTACTTTCAGCAACGATGAACTGCTACTGC